GTGTAAGACAGTAAAGAATTCCACACAATGTTGCAACTTTGATGAAAATTTTAAAGATTTTCCCACCTACTTCCCCAAAGAAAACTTACAATATTAAAACACCAAGAGGAGTCTTTAAAACATACAAGCATAGACAATTAAGAGAAGCAAAGAATTGTGTAGACCAGAGGTCTGAAAGGAGTTGAATTTTCCACTGGAGCACTAACTGAGGCTCTGCTTCCCTGCCAACTAATGAAAAAGAAAAGTGAAACATTAGATTGTATGGTTCCCATGGTTTTGCAGAGCAAGCATGCAAATTATTTTTTTGGAGAGAAAAGGTTTTGGCACTTAATTTTAGAATCAATTACTGGGATTCTAACAAAAGAAATCAGGGTTTTTTAAAAACCTTTTTCATTGTGAAATGCTTCACAAAGAAAAATACATAAATGTAGTTTACTGAATTCTGGTAAAGTGAACTAGCACCTACCCTGGCTGAACACAGAAGCTTGCCAGCCCAGCAGCTCCCTGAATGCTTCATTCTAGACATAAAGCTCTCCTTTGCCCCAAATGTGACCACTATGATTGTTATAGCAATTGGTTACAGTTTTACTACCTAAGTAATATCCTGTTTTTAACTTCGTATGACTGGAATCATGTATTCTCCTCTTTGCCTCCCCTTGCTGTATGTCAGTGTTGTCCAAATTGTTGAGTGTAGCTGTATTCGTTTTTATTGTTCTATAGTACTCTATCATGTGACTATACCACATTTTAGGACTATCCCACAATTTGTCCATTCATTAGTTGATGGATATACGAGTTACTCTGGTTGTTGGCTATTATGATGAAAGCTGCCATGAGCATTCTTGTACATCTCCTAATTCAAGTGTACACCTATTTCAGCTGGATCCCAGGGTAAGCATGTATTCGACTTTCACAAATGATGCCTGAGCAGTTTTCCAAAATGATTGTGCCATTTATGCTACCACCCACAGTATTATGAAAGTTTTTTAAACCTTTAAACTTGAAATTGCCAATCTTTAAAATTTTAATCATTGTTGAGAGTATAATGGTATCTCACTTCTGTTTTAATTATGTTCTCCTTATGACTAATGAGGTAAACCATTTTTTGTATACACACTGGTCCTCTGAATATATGAATTGCCTACTCATCTCATACCAGTTTTCTACTGCAATGAATATCTCCATCAATTTATCAGTTTTTACACAATGGTAGTTTCTATAAATTTAAAACCGTTGAAACTAGTATGTCAAAATTCCATTGATATTCCAACACTGAATATTCTTACTAAACTCTCAATTCTGGTATTTATCTGTAGCTATTTTTGGATTTTCTATGTACATAGCTACATCTGCCAGAAATGTCACCTTTTTCCAATCCTTTTCTCTTTCTTCTTGCCTAACTGCAGTGTTAGTGCCACTGATAACAATGATGAAAGGAAGTGGTGATAGAGGTAAAGACAAAAGCATCCTCACCATCTTCACAATTTCAAAGGGTCTGCTGTCCTGTAATGCAGGGCACCTCTCCACACACCAACAGAGAGGAGAGAGAATGGAATGTTAATGGACTTTCCACTGACTTGGGCTGAAATTACTGCTGCTGCTTTCATTGGGGGTATAGTTATATGGCTCTTCTACCTGCAAGGGTGTCGGCAAATACAGAATGAGTTGATGGATTGCCCAGTTAGAATGACTGCCACACGGGGCAGAGAGAGATGTTAACGGGAATCTACTCCAGGAAGGCAGGCGGGAGTCCTCCATGAAGAGAGGACACTCGAGAACCTGAAGGGTGGTGTCTCGCTTTCCTCAGGCTGCTGTCATAGTACCACAGATCGGATGGCTTAAACAGAAGTTTATTGTGTCAGTTTGGAGGCCAGAAGTCCCAGATCAAGGTGTTGGCAGGGCTGGTTCCTTCTGAGGATGTGACAGGAGGGTCCTCAGGTAGTTCTCATCTTGGAGACGGCCATCTTCTCCCTAGGTCTCTCACATTATCTTCCCTCTATCCTTCTCTCCATCCAAACTCGCCCCATTTTATAAAGATACCAATCATCCTGGAATAGGGCCCACTCTAGTGAACTTACTTTAACTTGATAACCTCTGTAAAGGCCCTGTCTCCAAATAAGGATACATTCTGACAGGACTTCAACATACAAATTGTGAGGGGACATGAAGTTGGTCACACTAAAAAAAGAGGGAGAACAACCCTAGGAAGAGGACAGTTTGTGCACAGGTCTGAAGGTAAGAGATTATGCATGTGGCTAGAGCTCAGCAAGCATGGGAGACAATAGGAAAGGCCACATCACATCCAGCCTTCTAGTTCACAGGAGGTTTGCAATTTTATTCCTAATGCAATGGGAAGCAACCAGAGGATTTTATGCAGGGGAGAGACAGGACCTCGCCACTCTGACTGTGGGCAGAGATTTTGGAAGGAGACAAGGTGGCAATGGACAGGTCAGTTAGGAGGCCGGTGTAGGAGTCTAGGTGAGAGGTAAAGGCGGTCTGCACAGAGTGATGAGAGATGAGGGTGCAGAACAGAGAAAGGAGGTAGGTATGTGTGCTACATCTAAATTGGCATTAAGCTTGACGGGATTTGTTGGAGTTCTTTTGCTGGAGGATGGGGTGAAAAAGGCAACAAGGATAAATTCTAGGTTCGAATTGCAGGACTGAATGAATTGTGCAAGTGTAATAGCAAAGCTTAGATAACATTAATAGAGAAATTACTACTTGACAATAGAAAACCTTTCAGCAAATGTTGGGTCACAATAGATTTATGGTTGCATTTTCTAACAGTTGCTTGAAGTGCTGACAGAACATGCAATTAACATTGTTTCAAAAATTGTGTAATTGACCCACATACTTGCCCAGTAGGCCACCTATTTCTGCAAAGAGGTGGGCCACAGACTGGCCTGTAGGAGGACCAAATAACTTCTAAAAGATTTAAACCAGTGAAACACTTGAACATTCGCTCAAAGACCCCAAAGATTTGGGTCTTTAAGCATGAAAACAATCACTTTGGCCTAAAACCTTTTGTGAGACGTTGTTACCAACTGAACTACTTTCACCATAGAATGGTTTGTGTGTGATGTAATTTTGAGTAAGATTATATATGCCCATGATGGCTACAGATGGTAACATAGTAGTTCCCACCTTGAACAATATCTAGACCCTTTTCTTAAGCCTCAAATGATTTTTATAGAATTGTGAACATTATATCAGATTCTGCAATTATTCCTTTCACATCTTTCTTACTCCTCAACTTTAAATGTTCTTAAGAATGTTGATACACAAGGAGGGTCAAATACATATTGCCCACATACTTTCTAAATTAATACTTAATGGATAAAATTTTTATGATGTTGAGATTAGGAAGAGAAGCATTTTAGACAAGAAACCTGTGCAGGTATAAAGGCAAGAGATGAGCATATAAACTGGAGATACTAGGGGTAAAGGCTTGGATGGGAGACCAAAGTCTGCCCACAAAGAGCTTGTAGCAGCAGCGCATGCTTTCCTTAGGCAGAAAGGAGGCAGGGAGTCCAGGACTCTACTGAATATACTATAAGGGCTGGCTATCAGAATAGTGACAGGGAGGAAGCTGAGATGAGATGGAGGAGGGAAAGAAGTAGTGGCTGTGATCAGAAGACTGGACCTATGAGTTGAGTAGGAAAATTCGTAGGGAGTAATTCCATTAGAGGGTAAGCAGTTGACAAACAGCCAAGTTCGGAGACAGATAAGAGCACACAACTGGTGAGCAAGAGGATCTTGTAAATGGTCAAGACTGTTAGTGGAGAGATCTGGAGAAAATGTTATTAATGAAGAAGTTTCTGGTGAGCTACAAAGTTGTGGGGTCTCTGTGGAAAGGGTATCCATGTAAATACCTTGGACAGAGTTCATGGGAAGAGTGGTTAAACTTCATTAGCAACCAGTAACGGTGAGAATGTTAACACCAGCTTATGGAAGTCAGCAAGATGGGGATGAACAGTCACAGGGACTAGGGAATTCCAACAGGCCTAGATTTCCAGGAGGGGTTTTCAGCTTTCTTGGTAAATATGGCTAGTCTGACAGAGAGGCCACCCAGTGAACCATCCCAGGGCAAGTGCACCATGATTTTCACAAAGGTGAAAGGAGAGGTACAAGGATTCTTCTGAAGTACCATGTAGAGTTTATTATTATAAATTTAGTTCAATAGGCAGAAGGTGATATTCTAAATGGACTAAAAATGGGTATTCTAGTGGACTAAATTCTCCTAAGAAAACCATCTACTAATAAGCCCTCTGGTTAATTTCAGATATATCTGTAGAGGGAACACATGGAACTAAATAAAGCTCTTTCTGGGGAGAGAAACTTCTCACTTCTCAATATAGAAGCCTAGAGCTGGGAGGAAATGCCGAAGTCCATCCTGTTCAGCCCATCATTTATAATTGATGGCTTGTGGAAGGGATAAAGTCATCTTACACCAGGATGTGGATCTTCTCATGTAGAGGCTTGATAACTCTAATAATAAATAATCAACAAAAATTCCATTATCTAAAGGGACAAAACTAAGTTGAGCTGCACAGGATAAGAGATGGGAGCTGGAATACTTGGGCAACATCTGGGACCAAAGGCCCTTAGAGGACACCTGCCTTTAGGCATCTGCCTCTGCAAGTCAGCATCACCAAAGAGTAGTGTCTCTGAGGCTTTGGTTAAGCCAATAATCACCCCCAGTTTAGATGACCGCAAATTGACTGCTGATTTAAATTATCTAAAGACCTTCCAGTTTTGGAAGTTGACTTTTCCCAAACCATTGGATAATTACACAGGTAACATGAATAAGGTTGTTACTGGCCCAAATAAAGTTGTCATTAAAATGCTTCATTACAAATAGCAGGTGGAAAGAGGCATAAGTACAGGGGCTGATAGTCTGAATCCTAGGAAAAATGTTAGCAAACAAATGCACAACTTGCTGTGTTCCTTCTACCTAAAATGAAGTGACAGTATATAAAACCACCAATGCTACTTTAAACAGAGGTTAACTCAATAAATATCTTTTATTAAAGAAAAAAAGGAATATTGTTAAGCACCAAAACTGCATGTTGTTACATTGCATGTACAAGAAGAGAAAGGTGATTGCAATACTTGGTTTACAAGTACTTATCTCTGAAGTCATGAGTGTAAAAAACATGAAATACAAAGCAATACAATAATTACAATGCAGTGAAGTTGCACTAAAGAACAAAAGGCAACAGAACAATTTTGGAGATTTCATAGTATTGCTATAAAATATGCTTGCTTAGGTTTTTCTTTGTACTTTTAATACTTAGAATGTTAATTGAGCATTTTTAAGTACTGTAAATTTGCAAGAGTTGGCATTTACAACACACTGTGCACACTGTCCATTTAATGCGATGGTGTTACAGCAATTCTTAAAAGCCAAGCACAATGTGCTAGTGTTTTACTTCTACCATTATAATATTGCACAAAGCTAGTAAATGGTGAATCTGTTTGCCATTAACATTTTCCTTTAACCATAAAGGCTAAATACATGTCAGTTTCATTAGCCCTAACGGGCTTTACTCATGCAAAATTATCTGTGACCTTCAGTTTTTCATGAACTATATATTATGGTTTCACACTTGGCAAGACATACAGTACAATTAGAAATTCAAAGGGACTGAATATTCTGTCCAAGCTGAAGATCTCAGAAGTCACTGCCTGGGTTGTACTGACTACCCCCTCCTGGTTCAACAAGTGAAGGAAAAAATGCCACCCCACGATGATGGAGACTTCTTAGAACCAATATAATTAGTATTGGAAAAAGCTAAAATAACTTGTTACACTCTTCGACAGTTAACCATAGAACATGCAAGTGAAAAAAAACCCCCAAAACATCCCTTGTTAAAATTGAACTCTACAGCCAAAGCCCACGCCTCTTGTATCCATCTAAAAATCACTTACCACGGTCTTTCCTTTCTGTCCTCCACTCCTCAAACTGAACCACTCTTATTATAGCTGACTTAAACAAAACAAAACAAACTTGACCCTAACCTTCAAAATGAATGGCCGCTTTGAGATTCAGTGTTAAATAACATTGATAGAATAATGTATCAATCAACCTTGGAGGTATTTTCTGTACATGCACTTTATAGTGGCATAAAAAACGTGTCTGAAGGGGAGAAATATTTATAAATTTGGAGTTTAATTAAATTCAATCACCAAGCTGTACATTTACTCTGGGCAAAACAGAAAACTTTAGAGTGAACACACCTTTGAAATAACTCAATGGGGAAACATTTCACACACACAGAACTCAGACTCCCTCTCACCTTTAAAAAAAAACACCTCTGTTTACATACACAATAGTTTAGACAGCAATATAAACTCATTTTGTAGGAAAAACTTTTTAAGTTAGACTATACTTATAGGATAAAAAATACCATTGCTTCTTTTTACAAAGCAATTAAGCAAAGATGCTTCTTTATATGCTTTAACTAAAGAGCACTTTGCGGCAAAGTTCAGACATAACTACTGAATTGTTCAGCAGCACTAAATAAATGCAATATGTGCGAAAAAGTAAGGTGCTTTCATGTTCTTATCTCTCATCTGAAATAAATCTTGCTGGTCAGTTCTCTAATACTAAGCATACTTCTACGCTAAGCAATAAGTGGGAAATAAAATCTGTGTAAATGAACATTTCACTTTTTATTATTTCAATTCAGTGCAAGATTAGATAAAACGTAAGGTTTCTGCTTTGACTACCATACAGTTGCATGTTAACAATGTATCTGCTACAGTTTTTAAATGTTTTACAGCTGTTTCAAAAGATTTTTTTTACAAATAACCAGGTAAAGTATATGAAATTTCAACTCCCTGATAAGTTCTTTAAAGACCCATTAGCACTTTACAGGTTGGTATCTGATTTTAAGTGCATAATTATTAAATTATAAAGGAAAAGAGGGGGACCTTGTATTTAGTAGGAAAAAAAGCTTTCCTCAGGCTAAAAGCATTGACTTAAATTTATACTCAGACTCAATGAATGCAATTTTAAAATGGGGTATTTGGTAATGTATACAATTAAACTGTATTAATTGTATTCTGATCCCATTACAAACAGATGCTGCCCCTTAGTTTTTGTTCCAATGACAGAGAGTTTTAATTCTCAGGCCTGCGATGGCCAAAGTATGCTTTAAAATTTTCCACATTTAATTACTAACATTAAGTGGTCATGCCATGTTACCAAATATTGCTACCTAGTTCAGCTTTCAGGAACAAGGTTTTTTTTTTCTCCTCATTATATGGAGTACAAGAAAGAGCTGAAAATTTTCTATGGTTTCATGTAAAAAGTCCCACATTCCCACCAGGGAAATACTACACTTGATCAACTGTTGCTGCTGCATCTACAAGTTCACCTGAAAATGCACTTTATAGAAATGTTTCAGTTCCACAATGAAAAACTAAGGAATGATTGTTTTCCTGTCACTCACAAACTCAATTAAGCCTGTAAAATACATATCAAGTAAGCAAGACAACTGCTCATTTAAAAATACTCTTTAGCCAGGCATTTTCTCATACTGCCACACTACAGTACCACTAGGATTTTAAATCAGGAATACCTTTTCTATACATGACACATTGGTTATTTATACATAATTTTGATTGCCTTAGTAAGAGAAATATTTAAAATTGACATTCAGGTGGGCAATTAACTTCAAAATTTCCCCAAGTCACCATCTACTTATTTCCTTATTTTAAATACATTGCAGCTGAGGCTAGGTTGGTAGTGACTTATAAATTGATTCAGCTAAGCAAGCAGCTGTTTGGTGTGGACTCTTAATACAGAAATGTTACATTAACAGAAATATAACTGTCAGATATTTTCAACCATATAAATGGTATGGGCAAGTCTGGAACTGGAAACGTGATCATCTAAGTACCATCATAACTAAATATATGCAAATTTAACACTATGGCCAAAGATGCTAATTTTATTAGGGTGAAGGGTCGGGGGTGGGGGTGGGGGGATTTGACCACACTTATGTAATTTTTGCCAGTTCTGAAACTGTTAAAGTTAAAATGAGGATTTAACTGGAATCTCATCTTGATGGACAAGTGGACTGTAGTTATTTGAAATTTTAATGTTATTTATGAGAACTCCAAAGGTTGATGATCTGCAGTAATGTAATTTTGTGGAAATAGGAACCTGAATATTGAGTAGGGGAAATGGGTAGGTACACTGAAGAAAGTTATTTACCAGAAAATGAGCACAGTTGGCTACTAACAAGGCTTTTGGTAATCTACTCACTTTTCAGTGTGAGATGACCTTCATGGAGTGCTACACTGGGATGTGCTTAGAGCTGTGAAGCCAACCCTACAAGGATTTACAGGGCTCTGTACTCCCTCCATTACTGTCTAGAGACTTTACTACATGGCTCAGGAAGACGGATCACAGGACCCTCTTATAAGTAAGCCTGTTAATGGAATCCCAACTGTTAACACTAAATGGGTAGCAATTCCTTCTGACCCTCTGCAAGTTCCAATGCTTTTGCTGTTAATTTAATATTAGATCCTCCTGCATTTTTTCTAAATGTCAATGAATTTTTTAAAAAATTGCAAAAAGCATCCAAAGGCATAAAATAGATACAATTTTTTTTATGTTTTGCAAATTTGCTAAACAATTTAAAATGTATATATATTAAACCAATCATTTTTGGGGTTAAAAAGCATGCTTTGATTCTTCACTGAAGATTCATAGGAAAAAAATCTAACCTCCTGCAACAACATGTGGGAATAATGCCAGCATAAAACCAATGTATTGTGAAAATGCTGTGGTAAGGCTCCTAATTAGTCTTATCAGTAGGTACATTACCAGCTTTTAAGCACAAGGATTTTTATGCTACCTGTTCTCAGAAAGCTTTCTCCATGATTACTTAAAGGAAATAACATTTTAAAATGACAAAAGTGATCTTCTTTCCTCCAGGAACACCAATATATACACTTTTGGAGAGCTTTTACTCTGGGACTGCTTTTTGGGTCTAGGCCAGAGAATCCCTCATAAGAAAAAAGTTATTTTTGGTACTCCAGTTTTAATTCCCTTCACATAAAGGCCAAGATCTATCTTATAGTACTTTCCAGAGTACTATAATGGGGTCCAACATCTCTACCTTTATTCAGGCCCATGACAGTCCTGCTGAGGATCGTAACAGTTTCATTCATGTAAGCACATCCTTCAGGACTTCATTATAGCAAAATCGGCACCTAGAACTACATGTTTTAAAATTCTGTGACAATAACAAAGGCTATCTCCCAAAACCCCACTCAAGACATGTGAAAAGAGTGAAATGCCGGCCAGGAAGGCTTTTCTACCTGTCTACTTTCTGTGTATTTGTAGAGAACACTTTTCACTGTGGAGCATAAAAATAAAAACTTAAAGGGTTGTATGGTAAAAAGACTTGAGATGTGCATCCCTGTTGTTGAGTTCTGATTTCTGATTCTCAATAGGAAAGTCATGTGGAGTTACACTAATCAAGCAACAGTTCAAACAAAAGACTAAAAATAATTATAGACTATTGCTTCTCCTAGACAAAGCTGCACATAAAATTCAAACTATTATAAATTCACAATTATAAAGAACTATTTAAAAGCACAGAAATTTTTACTCCAAAACCTTACCAAGTGTAAGAGTGTGTGGTCTTCTAAAAATATGCATGTCAAATGTGTGGTAAATAAACACATTAATAGGTGTATCTCCATGATTATGTATGTTTTTCAGATGCTGTTGAACACCTTTGTGAAAATTTCCCATTTGGAGATGAGTAATATGGAAATTCTCAGTGCATTTCCATCTGATTTTCTTTCAATTCGTATCCTACAGATATTATGGTAAACTTTTTAGCTGACATAGAAGCAGCTCTGTGTTTTCAAGCAAATGACTATTCAGTGCACTGAAAGATGAATTTCAAAGCAGTCCCAATACACTTTACAGTAGGTCTCTGTCAACCCAGTGTTCTTCCAGCTCAGAGCAATCCCTAAGCTTTACTGGCCACTACAAGAACATAAATGGGTGGACAGGAGGGAAAGGTGCTTTAAAAAACAGGAACCTCTGCAAGGTCTCTTCTTCACTGAAGTCAGGAACATTGAACATCTAACACTCATGTTAACCATCTACTGGAATGACTGGAAAAATGGTAACTTGCCAAAAGTGCTTCCTTTTTTTTTTTTCACATCACTGAGCCAATACAGATTGGATCTGTGGAACCAAGTGGTTAAAATTTTGTTTTCCAACAGAGTATCAACGGATCTTCAACTGTTTTTCAAGGTGTTTTTTCTTTCTGTAAAGTCACCTGTTTACAAAAAAAAATAATATAGTCTATTAAAAAAAAAGATGACCTATTAAGAATAGTGAGTATTTATGTTCCCTCACACTTCTTGCCATATTCAGGATGAACACTGATGTTTTTTTCTTATCAGTAGACATTTATACAGATGGTATACAAGAGAAACTTTTGTAAAAAAAAGAAAAGGATATGCTTGCATAAAAAAGGCAAAAAAAATCTGAATAAAGATTTTGATAACTTAAAAGGTATGTTAGATTCCCTTTGATTTACTCCTTTTGCTCTAACATTGTGTCAGAACTACAAAGTGAAAGGATAAATCTCAAATATTTGCCTCATAAACAGCCAGTAATAACTTATATTAAATGACACTTAGAGAATGAAGTTTTTGTAAATATGAACTCTAAATGGACAGGATTAATTAATACTCATCTTTAGCAGATGCTTTACCAGGGCTTTTTTAAAATTCAAAACAGTTGTATTTGAGATGTACCCATGGCACAGGAGCATATATTTATAGAAGACCTACTCATCAGATAAAAGTTGACACATAAAGTACTAACTTTTTACAGATCTGCATTATAGCTTATATATATTATAACTTACAGATCTAATACTTGTAGCTACATGTGGCTAGTGTGACTGAGAAACTATTTTTATTTTTATTTAAATTGAAATCTGAAGCAGTATAAAACATTTCTCAATACAACTTTGTTTTAATAGGATACTGCACTTAAATCACTGAGTATTAAATGTCCAAATTCAGATGTACTGCTAGTAAGTGTAAAATATACACACTGGATTTTGAAAACTCAGTATAAAAAAATGCAATCTACATTGTAAATTTTTTATATTAATAACATGTTGAAAGATAATACTCTGGACATATCATGGAAAATAAAGTATTGCTAAAATTAATTTCATCCTTTCCTTTTTACCTTTTGTATTGTGACTATCAGAACTTCTAAAACTACATCTCTGTGACTCACACTGTATCTACTGAACAGCACCATTACAGTTACCTGGCAAGAAGGACCTCACAGGAAACAGAAATCAATAAAAAGTCTTAGTTATTTCTATGTTTTCCTTAGACTTAGAAATCCCCTTCAAGGACACATTACCTATGGCTATCTCTGAGAAGAGTTTTTAGAGGAAGACAAGACAGAACTGTGGAACTTCATGAAATTTTAAGAAATCAGATCTTCAAAAAAATCCAATTACATTAATAATATGAAATCTCAAGAAAGAAACCAATGAGTAGTAACAAAGAAAATACAAATAAAAGCCTTTTTAGCCATCGGTAGAGAATTATCTAAAAGTCCAGAGAAATTAAAAAATGATTTGCCAAGACCACACACAAGGGAACAACACAGAGCCTCTCTCACTACCTGCTCAATGGATGGGGGGTTACAACTAGCCTGTGGTTTGCTTCTAATATAGAATACATTGTCTTTTAAAAGTGACATTGCAGATATCCAAGTTCAAACATTTTCTGGGATTATTTCACGTTTCTCTTAACATTATACTTACAATACATAAGCCACAAAACAATCAGCCCCAAAAAGAAAAGTTTTAGGCAATTTTCAAAGTGGTAATCTTCATGGACATATTCTTAACATTTGATAGAAGGCTAAATTAGTAGTCAAAAGCTGTCAAGTAACATCCCAGCCACTTGACTATACCAAATGCTACTGCAGTGTCTCATGTGTTGGGCAGGATCTAGTGGGATAGGAGAGACAAGCAGGGATAGGTTGGCCTGAGAAGCTGCTGGTGAGCCAGGCACCCTGTCTGGGCCACTGCAAGCAACTGTAACAAATGGACTGAACATGAGACTATGTGAAGGCCTAGCTGTGAGATTAACCAATCAGCACTAACATGATAGCTTTAGGCATGTGAATAGCAGCTCTCTGAGAACCTCCAATCAGAAGGAGACAAGTTTCTAGAAACTACAGTAGCAAGCACTGTAAAGTGGGAGACAATCTACAAATATCCAGCGTGGGAAAGATTCCCAGACATACCTGTTTCTCAACACACAAGCACACACTGATGTATTTACATTTTTCTACAAAGCATAATGTACACATGTGCAAGCACAAATGGTCAGAAAATATTTTGTGGGATCCCAAAACAGGAAGTCATAGAAAGTAATTGATACTTAGGGCCTTTAATTAACAGGGAACAAGGGTACTGAGCCCTGGCAGAACAGCAGTGCCATCGAATGTTGACTCTGGAGGAATGTGGCTTTTCACTCTTTTGTTAAGCTACTGATTAGTGCAGATGCTGACCAGGAAGAGCAGGACTGGGAATGTAGCAGAGGGTCATTTATATTTTCCTGGTGGACCCAAGCCCAAGTGGAACAGGTGAAATTGCTTTCAGTAATATTTTATTTGATATATCCAAAATAGTATCTCTCAAGTTTATTATTCCTTTACCTACCCTCTCCAGGACTACGAGTCTTCCTACTTTTGGCGAATGTTGTAAAGCCCGTAGAAACATAATCCATCAAGGGAACATTGTAATTAATAGAATGTATTTGCATAATTTATATTTTGCACACATTATAACATTTCAGTTATGATTATTACCAATCCTATATACTAATTTAGAGCATGTGTTATCTTTACTAATTCTATATATTTAGTATAATTTGTGTCACATTACTATATAAATAGCTTATTAAAATGTAGGAGTACAACTCTACTACCTTAAGAGAATGCCAAATGTGTAACCAATACCCACAGGGGTACTCAATAAGGTATGTATACAATTTTTATATATTAGCTGCAATTCTGTTCAGAAAATGCAGTAACTATGATAAGCCTTAAAATAATAAACCTTAGTTTTAAAGGCTTAGAAAGTTTAATAAGACAATATAATTTTTTTCTAAACTAATCTTATAAAATTCCTTTGTGGGTAGCTAATAAGACATCAAAATTAAATATTACCCAAAACTTCAGTTAGAAAAAGCATATTCTGTGTTTTAAAGCTAGAATAAGACTATCTTCAATATAGCCAATGATTCTGTTTAAAAAAAAGAAAAAGATTATCCTCTGTACTGGGGATATAGCTGTACTGCAGAAATCTTTAATGAAGAGGATATAAATATACAGCACTTTATAATATTATCTTTGAAAAGTGGTTTTCTGTTTCTAGAAACTACAAAAAACCTGAAGTTTATAAATTTACAATGCTCCATGACATAACTGAGCTGTAAAATAAATACTAAGTCTCAGACTCAATAAAATATAATAGATCTTATCATCCGCTATACAAGTTGAATGCTACTAAAGAAAGCAAAACTATTTACTTGTCAGTTTTCCCAGTCTGTGCAAGGCAAAGTTTCCTCCTCATCCTCTGACTCAGGGGATGCTTCTTTGATTCTTCTAAGAGCTTCATGGATGCTCCGTGTTAGAGGGTCTGTGTCCGGCAGAAGTGTGAAGGATTCTCTCAAAGCATCCTTCTGTACCTTCTTCAATTTTACACCTTTCCTTATTTGTGCCAAGATATTATTACTATCATCTTCATCAGGAAAAGGAGGCAGAGTCCGCTGTTCAACCTTTTTCAGATGAAAACTACCCCGTTTCAAGGAAGCTAGCACCTCATCCATGGGTGAGCTCACTTTAGAAAACAGAAGAGAACAATTACAGTTAGGATTGCTCTTCAAGTCAAATTGTATAACCTCTAGACTTTAGGAGTACAACAGCCCAGGACACCAAAAACACCCTCTACAAAATGGACCATAAAGTGTCAAAAGAAATCCCAAAGACTCAAATCCCATGTCAGGTATTACTGGTTCCTATTGTTTTCCATGTGAGAAAGTGAGCAGACTGCGAGCTAGGAAGTGGTAATATCTTTAGTCATGGTGAGACCCCTAAAATTTCCATAATGCACTAACCCAATCTAAATTTAAACAGTGACCAGGTTACATATTCAATTTTATAAAATTAAATTTTCATTCACTATGGTGTTCCACCCAACCTCATTTAGTTTGTTTACAAATCAAATTCTACTTGGGTTAAGGTAAGGAGTATTTTATAGGATTTTATATAATTATATAGGTTTCTCAGATTAAAATGTAACATGCAATTTTTAATTTTTATTACAATAAAGTTGACATATAGTATTATGTTGGTTTCAGATGTTCAAAACAGTAATTCA